ATCTTCCCAAAGAATTTCTCTGCTCGTTACTGCTGCAGTTCACAGCATGGGAACTTTCAATAATAAAGACTTTAAGGGCTTCTTCAAAGAGCTTCTAGGCTGTATCAGAAGCTCCATCTGGAAGAAGTCTCATGAGACTTTGGAGTGTTTTGTAAATACAGGCTGGGGACAAATGAGGTTTTTCTTAAACTGAATCTTTCAAAACTTGCTTTCTGACAAGAACTTGCAACAGGGCACATGAACACAGGAGTGTTTGCCAAACTGTATCCCTGGTGTAATGCCTTTCGGAAAGGGTGCAGTTAGCTTGTCATCCCTACAAAGTCTTTTACTAACACAGTAAATTACAGGCTGTATGGGAATGTGCTGTGCTCTGTTCTTTTCAGGTCATGGTCTTGGTCTTGGATTGCTCTGTGAAACTATATACGATGCTTTATACTGTTTGCCTGTGGATTTGTTTTATGTTTCAGCAGACTGAATAGCATTTCTATTTAAATCATGTTTCATTCTAACTAAAACAATTGCTGTTCTGCAGTGTCAGGGGATTCTGGAGGTAATAGGAACACTGTATGTTTTGTGATTTACTGACCACTTTGGCCTTTGAAAGGCACTGGTACGTTTTGGTCCATTTTCCCTGCTTTGTTTGGGTTAGTGATGCCTCATCAGTTACACCAGACCATGACAGAGTTCAGTATTTTCAGTGCTGGTGGCCCTCGATCGTGTATTTTGGTCGGGGGCAGCAAGACGCCCGTAGCACCATTTTCCCATCAGCAGTGCTAATGCTCCAGGAGCACCAGCATTACCGAGTTTTAAGAACTTGATGTCTTTCTTTGCTGGTTTTCCCCTTTTGAGATGCATCAGCTTTTCTAAAAATGTGTTTACTTTGTGAAGTTGTTTATGACGGTGCGTTAGCTGCCTGCATCAGACTAGACCTGCCTGTCTAGAGTTCTTGCTTGCCATGTATTCCACTTGGCACTTCTGGCAGCATATGAGAACAGAGAATACGGAGCGAGAAAAAAGTACAAAAGCTGCCTAAGTCTTGTATAGATTGAAAATATCTCCTAGTGTCGTCTTGATATTTTTCCCTTCAGTTGTGCCCTCATCTAGAAATCTCAGAGTATTTTATGAACACTGAAATAAGCCTTCTACAGCCTTCCTCCTTCTCCTCATTTCCCCCAGGAAATGACATTATCATCCCCTGTTTGGAGATAAGGAATCAGGTCTGAGTGGTGAAGTGGCTCGCCCAAGGTCAGCTGCTGAGTTAGTGGCATGGCTATGAATAGACGTAGGCATTCCAGCTCTCAGCTCTCTGCTAAACAAGATCGTGCCCTCCCAGTTCCAATTTGTCGTAACTTAATGACTCATAATATTTGAGCATCTAGAATGCGGCAGAATACTTTATTTTCATCACCCAGCAGGTAATCCTTAGTTACGGCAGCAGCAGGACGCAACGCACCTCCCATGTCCCCATGGATCCCTGGTACTGGTTTTACACAGGAGATGGGAGGACAGGTGAGGACTACCAGTGTGGCAAATCCTGATCACTCGAGTGTGGGTCTTCGCTATTCTGTGGGATGCTGTAGGTGCTCACCTGAATGTTTGCTTCTGTGATAAAAACAAAGATACTAGACCTGGTTCTTCAGTTGTCTTGGTGTAACAATAATGAAGTGTCCTGATAGTGGTTTGACTTAAAAATCTAATCCATTTTAAAAGAAGAAAAAAAAACTCCAGTGCAGTCTGCTGTTCCTTGAGGGAGAGAAGTAATTCAACTAAAGTCCTCTCAGGAGCCAAGTAAGAGAAGTAAATTTTGAGCGGTGCTGATCAGGAAGAGGAAGTCATCTGTCTGCATCTGGTCGCTTCCCTGCTTACACGGCACAGTCCTGTAATGGCTACATAAGCAGCTTTGTGATGAACAAATGTCAAGGGCAATTAATTCTTTGGCAGGCAGCTGTTATTATTAGGACAAAGAGTGGCCAGACATAGAAGGAAAGCCTTCAGCTGATTTATTTTCTCTACCTTTTCCCTCAAAATTGATGTCACTCAAACCCCAATGGTGAACTTTCATACAATAAGAATTTTAAATTTGCCGTATCTTTTTTTTTAGTAGGAGATCTTATATTAGATTTAGAGCACAAAGGAATAGCTCAGAGAAAATGCTCGGAAAGTCTTCACCGCTTTAATGCTATCAGAAAGGAGCAGAGTTGTGTGTTGAGCTGGTAACGTAATAATACGTGGGCTGAGTCAAGCCCACTTCAGACTGTTTTTCTCAATCTTAATTGATGGAAATGGCCCACTTTTAGGCTTGATTTATTACCTTAGCAGAGTTATTCCAGGATTGCTGCAATGCAACTGTGGGTGTTCTAAATACACCCACGCTGCCGAAGAATCAGGAAGGATGTACTTAAAATCCTCTAATTTATCTAATAACATCTTTAGCGGCTTTTTGTGTCGGTTTAGTATTGTAATGGAAATGCACTCTTTGGCTAGATAAAGAGCTCCTGTGTGAAACTGTTAGCATTGGCTGTAGGGACACGTAAATAGCATTTGGAGCTGACTGGGGAAATACTCTGACCAGCTGTAAACGCACCTTTCAGTTTTGTAGTCTGTCACTACGGTTAAAGTAATATCTAACATTTCAGATATGAATATCCATGACCCTGGGTCTTCACAGATGTGGCCTTCCCATCCCAGGCAGAGCAGAGGTTCCTTGCGCCGGGGGGTATTTTTTTCTCTGCTGTTTAGGTCCTGAGTCTACTTTAGCAACTGTTGCTGCCTCAGTTCTTAGCCAGGTTCCTTCTTTGCCCATCAGCGGATGATCCTGAGGGGTTGTTTGAGTGACACTAAACAAGCCTGGTTTTCCTACAAAGTTTCAGCACTGAGCTGGTGAGAATAAGCCCTGGACTGGGAAACAAGCTCAGATCCCTGCAGGTGCTAGCGCAGGCTGGTATGTTCGTGCCTGAAGTGAGCTCTGTCTGGCTTGTGTTTGTGGATGCTTTCAGCATGGATTCTTCCGCTGTGCGTTATTTAGGCTGAACGTTAATCTTTGGCTGCATTTTTGCAGAACGGTGTCCTCACGGTGTTGCTAACCGCTGGCATAATTATTCTATCCCAGGCGTGGCAGTCTCTTGCTTTTGTTTTAACATGGAAATTACAAGTAACATGAACAGTAACCAGTATCGCCGCTCTGGACTATCGGAGCTAATAATAGAAATTAAAAACCTGCTCTTTGTGAGCTAAAAAAAGGCGGACAAGACTAGATCGAAAACCGGCTTCTACATGCACCAGAAGTAAAGGAGGCCCCGGTGCGCTTTCCTCTGGCTGATTACTCTGACCACGGGGCACTGCTGTATGTAAATAGGATCAGAGTTCCCGTGTTGTGCTGGGAAGAGCCGGTCCTGAGACAGCTGATTTCCTCCAGCAGTCGTGCTTCATTAGCGCGCACGTGGCTGAGGCTTGGAGGTGCTGCGTGAGCAGAATACTCGGCTGCTAATTCTAGGAAATACGCTTACTGGTGGTGCCGGAACGTGGTACGAGTGGCTTTCTGCATTACTTCAAGGGTCAGAGCTTGTCTCATGGCAAGGTATCACTTGGACAAAGCTATTTATTGCTAATCTTACATTCAAATAATTTACAGATATGTTGAACAGTAAATAATGAGGGTCGGAGGACTTGCTTTGTGTACGTTTTCTGAATCTGTTACATAATCTTACTGTTTGTAGCAGCGTTTAGTATCAAGAATCTGGAAAACTTTATGGTAAAATGACTCTTCAAAAACACCCAAGTGTAGCGAATCTGATTCTTTTTCTGAAATTCAGATTTCACTGCTGCAGCTATGGCATGTGGATCAGTTTAGATGGCAGTTGGCTTTCCTGGGCAGTGAACCAAAAGTGAACACAAGTGACGGTCACCATGTGCTTCTCAGGCTCCAGAACGAAGTCTGACAAGGCCAGTTTCTGTGTAGAAGTTTTTCTGCTCTGGATCTGGCTGGACTGATGCCTCTAGGCTAATGTCCCCTCTCCAGCCATGCTAAAAGCATGCGGACGGACTTACTGGGAAATAAGTTAAGGAAGTATATGTGCTTGTTGCCCGTTCCCGGGACTAGCTGATGCAGAATTCTGTTGTTGATGGATGGTTTCTGAGACTGAAATTGGCTTGTATATCTCTGCGCGGTCCTGCAATGGTAGACGTGTCTCACGCAGGACGCTGCTACCCTGAGGACAACGGTGGAAACTGGAGGTTTCAGACTGTGTCAGCAAGAGGCACCTGGAGAAGTTAAGGCAGACCAATGGGAAATGCAAAGTCATGCATAAATTAAGAGGTATTAAACTCTTCTTGAATGAGAGAATGTACATTAAAGTGGCCTTGGTTTGCTATAGATTAATTAACCTTGGGAGATACCAGACTTAATTAAGCTACAGTGCGTTAAAGCCACTTTACTCTTGATAGAGATCATTCATAAGGGAGCTTTTTAACCTTATGCACATCAACTTCATCCCTCCTCGGGGTTTGCCTTAACCTTCAGTGGCCATTGGTGAGGTTTTGGACACTTTGAAATCCAAGAACTTCTCTTATCCTTTGGAATCCCGACTCCAATTCTTAGGAGAAACTGGACGAAATGGGCTTAAGATAAAAGTGTATAATGCACATGTAGAAAAAACGCGCTAAGCAAGGGTTGCATGACAGACTCTGCAGGGGGGTTCAAGTCTAGATTTGAAAAGCATTTAAGTAGAGGTTAAGAAATGGAACATTAAAACTTAAGAAACAGGGAACATCAGAGTGAAACAGGGTTACTAAAATCCTTATGGTGAGTTTGAGGTCTTGCTGCAGGGTTGTGGTGCTGTCTAGTAAGGAAGAATCGGAAGTTTTACAAATCCTGGTTCAAATTCCTGTTTGTTTGTAGAAATATATCGTTATGTATTTCCCTGACTGCAAGTTCCCTTGCTAAATCAGATTAAAATATCTTTTTGTGTGTTTCTTACTGTGTTTTGTTTTTCCTTTTCCAGTAATTGCCCTTCATTTTTGGCTGCTGCTTTAGCTAGAGCAACTTCAGATGAAGTCCTTCAGAGTGACCTTTCAGCACACTACTTACCAAAGCATGTGGACAACGCAGATGGGATCATACGTAAGTATATCTGCACATGATAAAGTAAAACTTTACATGGGGTGGATCTCTGTACACTGTATCCTGGAAAACTTTGCACATAATTCACAGATTTTTGAAGTCACCATTCGCTTCAGTGATCCATCTAGTCTGACCACTTGAATAGTACTAGATTTTCCTCAAATTAGTTGCTTCTACCAGCTAGCTAAACGAAGTTGGACTAGATCTCTTGTAAAAGAATATCGCATACTGCTGTAAAAAGATTAATAGGGAATTCACCACCACTCCTGGTAGAGCGAGTGGCTAATTTCTTAGTCAACGGTTTCTCATCTTTGAATCTTGTCTAAGCTTCAACTTTAACTGTTGAATTCTTTCTCTATTTTTAAATGCCTTTCTCTGGTTGTACTTGTACTTTATCAAATTTTTGCTCCTTAAGACCAGGTGGAAATCACTCCTTTCTTTTAATTGCACCTTCAGAAGACTGTGTCTGGTGGCCCTGAATTTCTTTGTAAGCACTTCAGACTGTGTGGTCCTGCTGCTTGCTGGCAAGTGCCAGGTGTCCTTCGTCCTTAGAGCAAAGTCAAATATATATGGGAAGAGAGAATTTAATTCTGAATTATTTCAGTCAGTATAGTTTTTACTATGCCTTCTAATTTTTTTATATCATTTTAGCAAAGGATAGTATAAAGATATTTCATGCTTAAAATGAAAATGTCCTTTTCTTCATTTATCTGTGTTGACTAACAAGATTTTTGCTGCATCCAGCTCAAAGCCATGCACCCTAAACCATTTCAGGATTCTGCTGACCTAAATAACCTTGAAAAACTTTCTGGGGTGCCCACTACAGTGGAGAACACTGTTTCCCACATGTATCAAGAGGAATTCTGTCATCTGATCTTGAAAATACAGTCACTAAACCACTTTGTCCACTTCCTCCTTTTTTGATTAAAAAATAAGTAAATGATTCTGAGGATAATTAGGGGATATAAATCTGGCTCTTCAAAAAGGAAGATTCTGGTATATTTCTCAGAGGCCTTTGAAAACCTGAGAAAAAGAAAAACATGCTATGAGTTCCCTTATTGTAGGTATTGCTGCCTCCTCCTGCTGAGCAGGTAAATGGGATAGATCTGTCATTGTTCTGGCTGAGCAGCCTTCATTAATTTCAAATTGAGATCTCTGAGACTTGCATAAATATTTGACAGTCTCCAAGGAAATGTTGACTAAGCCTCCACACAGAATATCTAAGTTCAACAAAAAAGAAAAAGAAAAAAACCCACCAAACCCACAAAACCCTCACACCTACAGAAACTGCCATTTACATATCTCTACATCTGTAATACACAGATGCAACCATAGATTGATATGCGTACAGGCTACAGCAGGCACTAAAAATAGGACTCCAGATGCAGCATGCTGAGGTGAATTGGCATAATGAAGGTACTTGGAAATAAAATACACCTTTAGAGATGCAATGTAAAGTGTTAAAATATGAAGATAAAGAGGGAGAGGAAGAGAGAGAGAACATCTTCTGTAGTAAAGCAACGGTTTTATACAAATACTGCAATTTCAAATAATAGACTACAAATGATAATTTTTGAAACAGAGCATTAGTTCAAGTGCTGCAAGGTTTGGCTAACAAAACCATATCGAAACTAGCGGGATTGATGCAGGACTGAAGGAGATTTCATTGCAAAGGTCAGTAACTCCATTCTAGGTACCTTTCTCACAAGGAGTCTTTTGAGAAGCCTGGGTGAGTTACTTAGAAGAGAGCTGCGACTGATGAATGCCCTAACTGGTACCATACAGGGAGACTTTCATGCTTTGAAAGAAAACAAAGGGAACTGTAGCAGGTGATGAAAATGGGATTTCTGCATCCTGAAGTTTTGTGCTCTGAGTTCACTGTTTATCCTAATGATATTTGGAGTGCTGCAGAATGCAAAGCCAAGCTGAATTTAGCTGGCTGGTTTTGATATCCAGTTCTGTCTCGGTTTTTCTTATCAACCCAGAAAGATTTTTACTCTGTATAATATAAGGAGACATTTACCTGATTTGCCTCAAGTTTGAATTTGCTAGAAGAAAAAAAATTATTCCAAATTTCCTTAGTGACACATTTCACTCTGGGAATTGCAACGTGACAAATCATTTTGCATACTTAGGAGTGGTAAAAGCAGTTACTGGTGTGCTGGTGGAAAGGAAATTAGACACTTCATGAAAGAAGAAAGCTAATCTTAAAAGAAGGAAAACTGTTTCGACTCCACAAATGTAGGAGTCCAAGAATATGGGCCTGTTATATTTGGGGTGGCCATGTCTTTGGACATCAAGAACAGAATCCAAAAGTCATAGGCTGTGACTGATTCTCCTCTTCCAGTTGCACTGGGGAGGAGCCAGAGAGCTTCCATGAGAACAGAAAGACATTTGATTTCCTTTTCAAAAGGCCAGGTTAAGAACATTTAGTTTTCTTTTTTTGTGGAGGAAGATACTCACGTGGCGGTTCGGCATTGTTAAGGAACCACCAAAGGAGTCTGAGTAGTAGGACCGTGTCACATGGTGGAGGTATCTAAAATATCCAGCAGACTTCACAAAGCAAGTCGCAAAGTCCCATTACCCAGTCTTTCCAAGTTCTAGCCGATGAGATGCTATAGCCAAGACACAAGAGGCCGTTGACTAGTCAGAAACAGGAGGTCTTAGATTAAGAAAAACCTTGGTCATTGGCTTGATGATGTGTCTGCAAACCTGGGTACTGATCCCTGTTGTCACACTGTCCACATTTTCAGGAAAGGTCTTAAAATTTAGGTACTAAAAAGCAGAATCTGATTACTGGTATTCTTTCTAGCCTGATTTTGCCCTAAAAGAAGTCAGTTGTCTTTGGGAGCAATAATGCCCGCGCTGGATTTCCCACTAGCTGTGGTACAATTAAGCGCCGCTTCCAGCGCTGGGGATTTTGGAGCAGCAGGAGGGAAATGAAATTCTCCATGACACAACCACAGTGACAGCCGAGTCAGCTCTGGCTCAGCGCTGCTACATTAACAATTGATGAGTAATTTACAGCTGCGAGGGGGTGGTTTCACTGTTGTGGGCCTCTCTCCTCTTTTAACCCCAAGAGCCATTATTGATGATGATGACGCTACGCATCCTCCCTGCTGGGAAGGGTGTTCAGTGTCTCAGCACAGCCGGTGGATTTACTCCATTCCTCCTTCAGAGTGATGCTCTGAAGCGTAACAGCCACGTGGCATTGAAATGTGCGCCGTTTCCCTTCGTACGCGCCCGCTGGGAAAAAAATGGCAGAGCAAGCCTGTGGGGTACGCTTCTGGAAGATACAATTTGGACATGTCAGGCTGTACGTGTTCCCTGTTTAAATGCACTACCCAGCAAAGAGATTTCTGGTGGCACCGGTGAGAGCAGTGTAAGTGTTGGGGGGGATTTGGTACCCGTTGCTATGGCAGTGGTGGGATGACCCAATCATTTGATTTCCACCGCTTGTTTTTAAAGCTGTGTGATCAAGAAGCTAGGGCTCCTTCTTTTGAGTATGTTTATAGCTTATTTCCAGCCTATCGGCTGCTCTTGCCAATCAAGCTTGAACCAACTCATACTCAGCAGAACTGGGAAGGTGTCTTGCTCCTGAGGGTCTTGGCCCCCTGATCGCTATAGCCCCCATCTTGTGTACACCTAGTGCAGAAATTAGTAAATGCTGCTTTTAGGCTCTTCACAGAATTTCTGTGAACTGAGAGATGCTGTAACCCTCCCCTCTGCTCCCTGTATTTGGGCCATTCCTCCTCCAGGAATGATTGATGCTCACGGAGTGCTACTGTTTAGCTCTGGAGAATGACCATGGACAAGGAGATTTTGATTTGTTCAGCTCTGATTCTTACTTCCCGTTTTCCTCCCCTGAACTTCAGAATGATTGTCAAGTCCCTGAGTTCTTACATGTTAAAATTACTATTTCTCAGGAGTGGCAGTTCAGCATTCTCTTAAATTTAAGACCTTTATTGTTTTCTCATTTGCTTATGCAGATTTCTTTGACACACTGTCTAGTCAGGAATCTGGAAATAATGTTATGTACCTGAATGCATACGCTCCTGCCAAAACATCTTAAAGAAATGCTATTAATTTCTGTGGGTTATTTGCCACTGTATTGCCTCCGTGCTGCAGCGAGGTGTTGTTTGGAACAGATCGTTTGGTCTAAAACGAATCCATCATTGTAATGGATTGCGGGTGTCGTGTGTGATGCTGTACGCCGTGATGAGGTCCCTACGCCAGCCGCCGCGGCACAGCTGCACCGCCCTGTGCAGAGCAGCACAGGGGATCGAATGCGGAGGGAAACCTGCTTTTCCTTTTTCCTGGTGCTGCAAATGAGTTCCGCAAAGGCACGGGGGAATGTTTAAGTTAAAAAGACAAACAAACAGTGAGCTGCTTACTGATGACTGCTGATTATGGTGGGTTTGGCTTCCTCTTTTTACACGTCAGAGCCCAGAATTTCCCTGCTGACATCCATTTCAACTGTTTGGCTAAAGTGGTTTTGTTTCATCTTTGTAATGTATGCAGGAGAAAAATGTTCACTTAATAACATTCTTAGCCTTTCATTTGTGGTTTTTGCCTTCCCCAGAGATTGAGACAGTGAAGCTGGCCCGCTTAGTTTTTAGCAAACTGCACGAGATCTGCAGCAACTGGGTGAAAGACTTTCCACTCCAGCCAAAGCCCCACCGCTACTACGAGACATCCATCCATGCCATCAAGAATATGCGCAGGAAGATGGAAGACAAGCACGTCTGTATCCCAGACTTCAACATGCTCTTCAACCTTGAGGTAAAAAGAGATCACATGGAAGACAAATGCACATGCTAAATACGGTTTCCGTTCTTGGGGAAACTAGGCAGTCTTCTGTGGTGAAAATGAAAGCCATACCTGTGAGGGACCCGAGGAGGACTGACAGTCAAGAGGCAAACCTGGCCTTAGGTTAGTTCAGTTGATATTCTGTAGCCATAGCGGCAGTATGACATGCAGTTTCTCCATTGGGTATATAGAATAAAATAGCAATTTTTACAGATTTCTGGCCTTCCTGATGTAGCCACTCATGCAGTGGCTGAAGGACTGAGCTGCCATTGTGCAGAAAGCAGCCCTACTTGGAGGGTAGATTTAGACTGGATATGAGGAAGAAGTTTTTTACAATGAAGGTGGTGAAACACTGGCACAGGTTGCCCAGAGAGGTCATGAAGGCCCCATGCATGGAAACATTCAAGGCCAGGTTGGATGGCGCTCTGAGCAACCTGGTCTAGTTGAAGATGGCCCTGCTCACTGCAGGGCAGTTGGGCTGGATGGCCTCTAAAGGTCCCTTCCAACCCAAAGCATTCTACAATTCTGTGACACTTTTGTGAGTGGCAACCAATCTGTTGTGGTACCATGTGATAAATGAAGGCAGGAGCCTCTCTGGCTGAAGATGCCTGGGTGTAGAGGATTGCCAGGGCAAAGTTTTCAGCCCACAGTTCATTGCTGATGCCAGTTGTCTATGGGGCAGGTCTGTACTGCTTTTCAACCCTGTCTCTTGGGAGGAAGAAGCCAAAAGCAAGAATTAGGAAAGAAAGTAAAAAACCCAAAACAAACTCAAACCACAAAACTTACAGGAAAATGGGGTGCCGTTCACACAAAGATCAAGCAACATGACTAGTTTGGGTGGAACAGGGGTCAGACTTCCCTCCACTCATTTCTTTATGTGGCCATAGGTCAAACACTCCTGCTTGCTCTTCCGTCAGATATAAAACCGGACATGGAAGAATGGCAAAGAGAAGAAAGTGGCAAGAATTTTACCTTTAGAATCAGATTTCTGCATGATTGATTCTTGATTGCGTCCTGTCGCTGTAACAACCATCTTCTGCCCCATCCACATTCTTGCCTTTAAATGATATTAATGCAAACAGAAGCAGGTGTTTCCTTTGCCTGTCAATTTTCAGCTTTCTTATTCCAATTTGTGCTGGAACCCATTACTTAAAAATTACAATGTACAAATATTCTAGTCATTTGAGATGGCTGTCAAGGTTGAATTGGCACTGACAGTGGGTTGGTGCGTTGTGTGTGAACAGGCACAGGAGTTGATGTCTCTTGGTGCAGTGTTGTGTCTCTGCTTGAACAGCTAAGGGGAAGCTGAGAAAAATGACTTGAAGAGAGTGATTTTGCTGTATTTGATTTGTGGGTGTAATCACAATTATCTGATGAGAAACTACATACAGCTTTTAAAAAAAACAGGTATCTAAGGTGATAAGGAGTAGATTTAAAAAAAAAAAAAAAAAAAAAAAAGGCAGAGGCTGGCTGGGCTTCACATCTTCACTGTACTGGCATTTTATCCCTGCTGGATTCCAGTCCTGACGCAAACTTCACGCAAACTGTATTGGATGTTCTTCTCTCTCTGTGGTTTTTGCAGTCACAAAAACTCCTGCACAATTTGATGAGAATGGCACTTTCTATTTGGGTTGAGTGACTGAATTGTAACAAATGGAACGTAAGGAGCATGGAGAGCACTATACGGGTGATTCTTGCAGGGCATCTCTTGCAGTTTGCAGATGGAATTCGTCAGTAATAAGGCGGAAATTTCCCATTGATGCAAGTGAAGATGGTCCCTGTGGTTTGTTTTTCCAGTGCAGACTCTGCCTCTGAGTGCAATTTAGGGAGGACACCACAAAGCTCAAGTTGAAAAGTTTTAAGACAATCCAGTTAGCTCTTTGCGTTGTTTTCTCCTGAGTTGTTTTCTCCATGTGTTTCCATTGACAGGACCAAGAAGAGCAAGCTTATTTTGCAGTGTTTGATGGTCACGGGGGAGTGGACGCTGCCATCTATGCCTCCATCCATCTCCACCAGAACTTGGTCCACCAGGAGATGTTTCAGCAGGACCCGGCAGAGGCACTGTGCCGAGCTTTCCGGGTGACCGATGAGCGGTTTGTCCAGAAGGCAGCAAGAGAGGTGACTGAGTTACCTGGGCTTGACTCTGAAAGTATTCATCTATCAATTCTGTCTTTGTTAGCAGGGGTGCTCCAAGTGCTGTCCTGATCACGGGCCGGGGGCCAGCACAGAGCTGCCCCTGCACAGCCCGTAGAGCCGGTGCCCATGGGTGGGCTGCTTCATGTGCCATAAAGACAGCAGCCTCCACTTCACATCCAGTTCATTTAGGAGGGTGCTGCTGCTATTCTTACGTTTGCATACTAACTAGGTTTGGTCCTGGGGGTGGGTTCTTTTTACCTCGTCTCTACAACATACGTTTTTCTTGGCTCCAGAAAGCAAGAATAAGCGGGTAACTGACTCCTGGCCTCTTGAACTTATGCAAGGGCTCAGTTAGGTGCAGGGAACTCAAGATGCCTACAAATAAACCTCCTTCCAAGTTCATCAACGTGCACGCATTTGTATCAACAGACAGGAAACAGGCACAGGCAGTCAGCTAGAAGAGTAGCACAGCAGATGACAAGCAGAGCTCAGCTTCTGCAACGCGATTCCAGCGCAAGGGAAGTCACGGGGCAGAACCGATTCCTCACATTCAGCCAGGGTGGCTCTGAGGGGCTGTTGCTGAACAGGCGTCGCAGTAAGGAAAGCACTGCCAGTTCCTCCGGCTGCGTATGGGAATATCAACCTGTTCTGTCCTCGAGTTAAGCAGGAAGATGCTGTGAAATGGTTCTTGTTTGCTTATTTAAAATTGGGGGCGTTTTTTTTCACCCTATCCAGAGTCTGCGCTGTGGAACCACCGGGGTGGTGACTTTCATCCGAGGAAACATGCTGCATGTGGCTTGGCTTGGGGACTCCCAGGTCATGCTCGTGAGGAGAGGCCAGGCTGTGGAACTGATGAAACCCCACAAACCAGATCGAGAGGTGAGGCTGGCTGGTTTTAAACACACCCGGGCAGTGTTTACCACTGAAGCTGACGGGTATCAGCTTTGCATGGGGTGCTGGGACACAGCGTGTTGCCTTCCCGGTGTCTCTGGGAGCAGCAGCAGCGTATGTTCCCGTTATCCTGGTTTCTTTGGAAGGTGCTATGGATTTGTGCACAGATCCTTTTTTTCTCATCCGGTGGGGCCTGCAGCATCCACCATGCTGTGCTTGTGAGAACACCGAGTATTTATTGAAGTGTTCAGAGTGCGATGGCAGTACGAAGCGCTCTGTCCAAACAACTCTCGTGTTCTCTTGCTGTTTAGGATGAGAAGAAGCGCATCGAGGCACTCGGTGGCTGCGTGGTCTGGTTTGGAGCCTGGAGGGTGAATGGGAGCCTGTCAGTCTCCAGAGCTATTGGTAGGAATGGGCTTTAACTCCTTTTTCAGACTTGCTTTTCCTTTTAATTAAAACCTTCATTTTCTAGTGATCAAAATCTGAAATACAGCTGAAGATAGACCTGTGAGCGATAACCTCTATTTTTTTCCTCTACCGTTTGAGGAAATAATTTCCAAATAATTGCTTTAACTTGGAGTAAGAGTCACCGGCTCCATGCTGTGTTAATAGAAGGGCTTCCAGATGCTGTGGCTGCAAACCCACGGTCTTGTGTATCTGTGTGTTGTTTTTCCACAGGGGATGCTGAGCACAAGCCATACATCTGTGGGGATGCAGACTCTGCCTCCACTGTACTAGATGGCTCTGAAGACTACCTCATTTTAGCCTGCGATGGCTTCTACGACACAGTCAATCCCGATGAGGCAGTCAAAGTGGTGGCTGACCATCTAAAGGAGAATAATGGCGACAGCAGCATGGTAGCACATAAATTAGTGGCATCTGCTCGGGATGCCGGTTCCAGCGACAACATTACTGTCATTGTGGTATTTCTCAGGGATATGAATGCAGCAGTCAGCGTCAGCGAGGAGTCGGACTGGACAGAGAACTCTTTTCAAGGTGGGCAAGAAGACGGTGGGGAAGATAAGGAGAACCATGGCGACTGCAAAAGGCCGTGGCCCCAGCACCAGTGCTCAGCACCTGCAGACCTAGGGTACGATGGACGAGTGGATTCCTTCACCGACAGAACTAGCTTAAGCATAGGATCGAGCATCAACCTGTTTGACGATCAAGGCTATTTAGACCTGACAAAAACAGAAACTAGTACACCTCAGAGTGCCAAATGTCCGCCACCAATTCAAGCGTTTAGTCCTGGCATACCAAAGAGTGCGAGTGTGATCAGCGGCTCAACAGCAAAGAAGGAATCACCGGAGCGCGCCGCGTCGTCGATCTGTGGACAGAGCGATCCCAGGGAGTACAACGCTCCTCTCGCCTCGGGGGCCACAGGGCAGAGCCTCTACAGGGTGAAGGGTTTCTCCCCCGTTGTCTTTGGGCTGGAAGACGAACTGTTCAGATCCTTGGGAAAACGAGCTGTGTCCTTTCGCTTCCGGCTCTGTAACGGGAAGAGGCGACGAGCAGCCAGGCTCAGACCAAAGTTTCCCATGCCGCTCCTGGCTCGAGAGCCTTCCCGTGTAGGATCGAGTCTGTCCCCACCTGTGCGGGGCCGCAGCAGCACGAAGCTGTTGGCAGGACGCTCCCCGTGGCGGAGGCTGCCTGGGCCCAGCGCTTACAGCCAGAGCGCGTTTTCGATGCGAAGACAAAGTAGTTGTATACCAGATTCATACCTTCATCAATGCTGTAAAATGTAACCGTCTCCCTCGTGTTTCCCCGTCAGACTCCCAAAATAGACATTCCCAAAATAAACCTGGCAGCATCGGAAAGCGAAAAAAAGGTGGGCGTTTCCGAACTGTCCTCCAGTCCCCTGCAAAGCTCAAACCGTGTGTAAATAGATCTAGGAATTAACAAATGTAGTTGTTTCAATCTCAATAAAGTTTGCGGGTGGTGCCACCCCGAGCAACGCCGCAGCCACCCAACCACCCGCAGGCACACGTATCCAGTCACACTCACCAGTAAGCCAAACGGCTGGCTCGCGTGGACAGACACGGGGAGGGAAGGGGCTTTAGCAACGCGGGAGGCTGAACGTGCCCGATACACATCCGTGGAGCAATATGTAAAGAAAGATTCGGGTTTAGAACTGCCAAATTTTTTAAGAGTGGGGGGGAAGTTGCCATAGAAGTCAAGGTGTGGGGTTTTTTTTTGTGTTCTGCTTTCTGTTTATTTCAGGCGAGCATTAAGATGAATTAGAAAATTACATCCACTTTTGCAGGTAAAAGACTAAAAGCCATACAGGGTTTTACCAGGTAACTTAGGAATGGACAAACTAAGCTCCTGCTACTCTGTTCTCACTCCGCTTGAGGTACAGACTCCTGATTTACCTATTTTTTTCATGTAACATAAAACGTGGGATATGAAGAAAACTGTTTTTTGTAGTTTTTAAAAACTAATTTCCTATGGCTAGAGGTGCA